AGATACAACAACACACAAACATGCCCCAGGCATTCATGCACACACAGATATAACAACACACAAACATGCCCCAGGCATTCATGCACACACAGACACAGCACACACAAACAAATGGAGAAGAGACATCACTGTCATCTTATACACAGTCTATATTTCAATTGTCCCGATCGTCTGAATTGTGCTAGCATTCTCTCCTCTCCCTCTTCCATCATCTTCTTCGAGGTTGTATTTTAAAAGCAGGGTCTAACCAAGTCCAACACCCCAGAGTTGATTGTTGAAGCCCTTCAGATTCCAGTCTTTTACTACAGAACCCTCTCTCCACACAGGTCACAGTTCTACCCCTGCTGACAGATATTTTTCAAGAGTCCTGTCTCCAAAAGATGTGGACAGCATTCTTGAAGATGACACCTGAGATCATTGACAGCCTCTACATGCATGTGCATGCATGTGGTGTGCCAGCATATGCATGAATATTCACACATATTTACATACATGTGCATTAAAAACATCTCTGACAACTCTACAGTATAAGAAACAGAACCCCACAAATGTACCTGGTCACCCACCCACATTTGGATGGCAGACCTTCCAGTTGCTGGACAAACCCTGAAGAATCTTATGAAATAAACCAAGGGGCCACCTCTGAAAGGGAAGAGCAGGGAAGATCAAGGCTGAGTCTCAGGGTCACAGCAGTCCATTGTGAAACTTGAGTCCATTGTGAAACTTTGGTATAGAATTGTTTCTTATTCTTCAGTATGACAGTCTGTGCTCATCTCTTTTTTAAAAAAAATTATTATTATTAATTATTTATTTATTTTGCATTGGTATCTTTGCCTATGTAAGGGTATCAGTCCCCTGGAACTATAGTTACAGACAGTTGTAAGCCACCATGTGGGTGCTGGGACTTGAACCCTGGTCTTCTGGGAGAACAGTCACTGTTCTTAACCACTGAGCCATTTCTCCAGCCCCTTGTGCTCGTCTCTTATCCTAGTCTGTCTTCTCTTGTGATAAACACCATGACCAAAAGCAACTGGAGAGCAAAGGGTTTCTTTGGCTTTTACATTCTGTGTCATGGAATTTTGGGTCTATTGAGGGAAGCCGAGGCAGGAACCTGGAGGCAGGAACTAAAGCAGAACCATGGAGGAGCTCTGCTTACTGACCTGCCCCTTGGGTTGCTTTGTTTGCTTTCTGATACCACGCAGGACCATCGGCCTGGGGTCAACATTGCCCACAGAGAGCTGGGCCCTCCTCCATCAACCATTAATTAAGAAAATGCCCCGATAGACTTGCCTATGGACCAATCTGACAGAGGAATTTTCTCAGTTGAGGTTCCCTGTTCTTACATGACTCTAGCTTATATCAAGTTCACAAAACCTAGCCAGCATACCTCACTTGCCTTTACCCAAACAGCCCGTATCATGTTCAAAATTGTAGCTTCTTACTTGCTTTGGCATGTGTGTATGTATGTGTGTGTATGCGGTAGGAGGTGGGATGAGAAAAAGGTACCGTTGTAGCTTCAGGAGCAGGTGGCCAAGCAAAGACATTGAGAATATTTCCTCCAAGTTTTACTAAATAGAAATAAAAGATTGCCCCACTGGAAAGAATTAGCGGGTGCTGGGGAGAGGAAAGGTCTTGTGAAAGAGACAGAAAGGCTTCTCAGCGGTGCTGTGGGAACCAGGGGAGCCGGGCAATGATTTAAAACAGTTGAAGGAAACCCATTTCCTCCTGGAGGGCTCTGCCCCTGCACTTAAGGGAGGATGGGGCAAAACAACAGCTTCTAGGTACACAAGGCTCAGACATTGTGTGAAGAAGTCACTGGAGGGTGAGTGTCTCCACAACAAAGGATCGAAGGAAGAGGGTGGTGTGGTGTGCTGGAGGGGGGAGGGGACCCAAACACAAGCAAGTTGTGGGGAATTCCCACAGTAATCTCCTCCCAGGAGCGCAGCCTCCTCCTGGCGGAAAAAAAGGCATTGGATCCTGAGTTAAGCTGTCAGAAGCCTCTAGAAGAGTTCAAGATGAAATTGATATAACGCCTGAAAGTATTAAGCAGTTTACAAAATTGTCTGAGAGTTTGGAATTTGAATTATTCTAAGTACTTTGAAGAAATGAGCAAAAGGAGTAGATAAACATTAGCTTCTTGGTTTTGAGACAAAGAGTCTTCAAACCGTTCTCTGCGGCTCAGCTGTGAATGGGCTTTTCACAGTTGTGATAGTATAGGTTTTAGGGGATGGTTTAAATAAAATGAGTAATAATCATGTGTCTGTCTGTGAGTGCATCTGTGTGTGTCTTTCTATGTGTATATCTGTGCGTGTCTGTGTATATGTGTCTTTCTATGTGTCTGTGTGTCTATTTGTGTGTGTGCATGTACCTGTGTATGTGTCTCTTTCTGTGTGTGCATGTCTGTGTGTGTGCGCGCGCCCACATGTCTGTGTGTCTTTCTCTGTGCCTGTGTCTGTCTGTGTGTTTCTGTTTCTCTGTGAGTATCTTTGGGTCTGTGTGTGTGTCAAGAATGTCATATGAAGGACAGACAGCTATATGGGCATTTCCCAGAGTGGGAGGTCTATAGGTGTCTAAAATTAAAAGCACAAAACTATCAGGAAATTGCAGTGTAAGAGTGTTGTTTAGGGAAGTGGTGATAACTGGACTCCATGGAAAGATTTGACCATGGCTGCTCCAGGGATGGATGACAGATGGGCACTAGGGGGTAGGAAACAAGTCTGGAAATGGTACCTGTCTTCACTGTGTTTATATCTGTCTTCATAGGACCTCTGACAGTGATCACAAAATGGTAGTCCAATGATGGGTGTTTGCATGGTTCCCATAGTTAAGTCTTTCATAACAAAGATACTCAGAGTTTAGCGGAAAAAAACTGTTCTTTGTAGAGAAGGAATTTAGAAAGAATAAAACTTTCCAACCATGTCTGTACATTCTAGATTGTGCTCCTGGTTGGCCATTGTCAAGACTTGCTCCAGAAAGTTCTTCCTCAGAATAGGATCTACAGTTACCTCCTGAATGGAGAGAAGACTTGCTTTGTGCACCATCTTGCTTCACAGAATTTTAGAACTGAAACCTTTTCAAACCCCAAGAGGGAAATGGAGGCCAGCATGTCCTTAGAAACAGTAATGGGCAGAGGGGTGCCATCCGTGCAGGAACTGCAATGAAATCACTGGAAAAGGACTTAAACCGGAGCAAGATCTGGGAACCCAGGTGACCAACTCCAAGCCCTGCCGCTTGTTAGTTGCCAGGCAGAGAGAGCCAGTGGGAACGGCAGAGTCCTTCAGAGTTGCCCTGGAAGCAGCGAGGGGAGAGCCTCCCCTTTAAGTAAGACACTAACTTGGAGGTCTTTCTGCTGTCTGTTTTGCTGTCCCCCTTGCTGCCGCCACCGTTGTCACTGCAGGGAAAGAAAAAAGAAAACACTTTAACCTTGCCTAAGTATCTTATTGGAGACACAGTGAGTTCTTTCACTCATGAACAAAGACTTATGGAACGCATTTAAGTGCTGGCCATTGTTCTGGATGTTTGCCCCGCTTCCCCAGCAAAATGACAAAAGCCGGGCTCTGATGGAGTTTGCCGTCTAGTTAAGGGTGATGGGGAGATGGAGCTGGGACAGTCAATACATGATAGATGCAAGTAACATCACAGCACGTCGGATAATAAGATAGGCGGTGACAGATGCTAACAGCATGAGAAAAGGCGCAGGCGCAGTGGACAGCAAAGTGCCAGGCAGGGAGAAGGCACCCCCATCTCCCACCGCCGGGGTTATCTGTCTGTTGTTGCTGGCTTACCCACCGCTACATCTTGCTAGCAGCATTTGGGAACTTCCTTGCCCAGAGTAATACACTTCTAGGGTGAGGCTCATGACTAATGTCTGACTAACCTAAGAATACAAGGTTCTGTCGCTCTCCTTAGGACTCCCCATAAGTAGCTGAGGTCTCCCCATAAGTAGTGGCAGTCTTTTTTTTTTTTTTTTGTCTGAAACCTTGAGCTGACTCCTAGATCTTCCTTCAGGCCCCTCTCTGTCTCATAGTCTTAGTCTGGGAAATGCAATCTATGACAGGGGCAAACAACCCAGGAGCCAGAGGACAAAGGAATCTTCACCTTGGATGGCATGGCCAATGCCAGCTTCATCAGGAAGATGCCATTTGAATAAAAGTTGAAGTCAGAAGAACAATTTTCTAGGAATTGACACAATCCAAATGTTATACTGAGTGTCCTAGCTAGGGTTTCTATTGCTGTGATGAAACGCCATGATCAAAAGCTAACTGGGGAGGAAAGGGTTTATTTGGCTTATATGTCCACCTTGTAGTCCATCGTTGAAGGAGTCAGGACAGGAACTCAAGCAGGGCTGGAACTCGGAAGCAGGAGCTGATGCAGAGGCCATGGAGGAGTGCTGAGTACTGGCTTGGTCATCATGCCTTGCTCAGCCTGCTTTCTTATAGAATCTAGGACCACTGGCCCAGATATGGCAGCACCCACAATGGTCTGGGCCCTCCCCTGTCAATTAAGAAAATGCATTACAGCTGGATCTTATGGAGGCAACATCTCAATTGAGGGTCCCTCTTCTCAGATAACTCTAGCCTATGTCCAATTGACATAAAGCTAGTCAGCACACTTGAGTTTGCTTAATGGAGATTTTGTAGCCTCACAAGGTAACTGGCTTTGCATCATAGTTAGAATCCTAATTTCCCATGCTCCTCTAGAGATAAGGGGGTGGAGGCTGCAGGGAGGGAAGGTATAAGGCAGGTGGAAGATACTTCTTCCTCATCCTTACCATTGAAGGCACTGATCTCAGATTGTGATTTGAGAGTACTTAACTGTTCAGGACAAGGGACACCAAAAAAGGCCATAACCTAGAACATTTGGGTAGCAAAGGAAGCGTGTACCTTATAGGGATGGTTCTTATTTAAAGTTATGAAACCTTTCTAGTAACTACAGATTAGCATACATAAGCAGCAGCAATGGCAATGTTTAAAACTGTTAAGTGCACTTTTATTGAGTGATAGGGTGAGAACTTTCCACCTTTCATTTCCAAATGCAAAGGTATTCATGTGAAAGCTCTTGAGTCATGAAAATCTTCACACAGGAGCTGGATTTTACAGTACACATCTCAGACAAAAGTCCTTTCATCCCGCTGGCCAGTTGGGTAATCCTGTCCTTGAGGGAAGAGGAAGCTCCTTCAGAGGCCTGCCAAGGACATCAGCCCAGGCCCTGGGGCAGAGGTCTTGTCCCCAGGTCTGTCCTGAGTGGAGAGAAGAGGTAGAGGAAGAGGAAGACTGAGCACTAGGAACAAACAAACCAGCTTTGTCTCATCCAAGCCTGATTCTTGATTTTCCTTGGCTGCTTTTACTGGCGTTCAGAGAAGCAAGCAGGAGGTCCCTAGCCTTTCTCAAACGGTCTCATTCTTTAAAAATTAACTTTCAAACTTCAGCCCTCTCATCATCAGGACAAATGTGGGTAGGTACAGGGTTTTGTAGTGCCCTCCCTGAAGTCTCTGCTCTCAATTGTGTTTAACCAAATAGAACGTGCAATTGACCAATTCCACCACGATTAAATACACATTGGACGGCATTAAACACATTCACACCTTAAGTCACCAGCATCCCCAACCACCTCTAGAATTTCCACATCACAGACCTCAGAGTGTGTACCTATTAAGCCCAGTTCCCCTCCCCTATTCCCAGCAACTGTATCAATCTCTTTCTTATAAGCAGAACCATGCTGAATCACACAGTATTTGATCTTTAGCAAATGATTAGTTTTTCTTAGAATGTTCTCAGAGTCCATCCCACCGTGACATGAGCCAGGCTTTCTTCTTTCAGAAGGAATGATATTCCATGAGTGCGTATGTCAGTGGTCATCTCTTCAAATGCCTTTGGACCCTTGGGTGCTCCTGCTTTGGGCCTTCATGAGTAGAGCTGCTAGGACGATGGAGGGCAAATCCCTGTAACAGCCTCACTTAGTACTTTCCCCAGCACACAACGGACTTGTGGAGTTTGTGCGTGTCTAACTTCTTAAGAGCAGGTATATGTAAGTTTATGCATTTGAAGGTGGTCTCTTACATCGTCATACTTTTGGTTTTGGTGTACTGTGCACTCTCTGGATGAATAACTCATCCATTTTCAGCTCTGGTGGTTGTGAGAATCAAGTTCATAACCAGAGAGAGAATCATAAGAAGAGGAAGGCCTGGCCACCACCACTCAGGTATGGGCTGTCACAGATTGGCAAGTCAGGAGAAGCTATAACTCAGCTGTGTGTAAGTGAGGGAAGTGTGTAATTCCAGCTTTGTCGTCTTGAGTATCTGAGGGCTTAGGTTTTGAACTGGTGAGGAGACAGTGTGAATGAGCCGAGTGTTAGAAGAATCAGCTTAGTTTCTGTTTCTCCTCCGTGTTGCCTAGTGACGCAGCTCTGATGTGATGTAAAGCTTCATGTAGGCTCTATGATGCTGCTGGGACTGTCTATCTTCACAGTACAGTCTGCCTGTTGTCCCAACCGGTATCACACATACTCATGTCTCTACCAGCAGAGCAGATACACCAGCAGAGCAGATACTTAGTAATCATAGATGCCTAGGATCTCTGTGATCTAGGACTCGCTACTAGGACCTAGATCAACTTGATGTTGAGGCAACTGTCCTTTCCTTCTGGCGAGTTGGGTGGCGTCCCATGTTGCTCTCCCTTAAATATCTGCTCTTGCTTTTCATTCAACTCACTTCTTTTCCTTATTTACTTTGAGTACAGCTCAGTAGTGCCACAACCTTACCAAAGGCTACCGAGTTCATTGTCATTGGCCAGTTATATCTGCACCTCTCAGTTCAATATTTTGGAAGATGTATTGGCTGATATGTTTTATTTGTTTGTTTGTTTTAGACAGAAGCTTGATACATAGCTCAAGCTGGCTTTGAACTTGTGATGCACTTTCCTTGGCCTCAGAATACTGTGATCGCAGCCATATTTCACTATGCCCGGCTTCTGGAAAGCTTGTGAACTTATTGCCCAATCTGAGTCATCTTGCTGCAGGGCTGTGGCTAGGGGAGGAGCAGGAAAGGTGGGTGGATGCTGGTGGGAATCCTGTGGAATGTAGGGTTCCCTTTTATACAGACCTCAGTGGGCAGCCAACAGAGCCAGGCTGGAACACCAACTGGAGGAAAGAGCAAATGGGCTGGGACGGAAGAGAGCAGCCTCCTCCAACAGCTCACACCCTGGGCACTGCCGGGCACTGCTGGGCACTGCTGGGCACAGCTCCGTTTTCATCCCTCCTTGTGCAATCAGTGGCCCTCTAGACATGACTCACCCAATGGGGAGACTGTAAAACCTCCACAGAAGGACGGCTTTGTGAGTGTGTTGTTCTTTTATGGAAGGGCCTTGGTTATATTGATTAATTAGCCAGCTAATTAACTCATCAACCTCCATATGTTTACTGAGTGCTGACTGTGTGCCAAGTGCTCTGCTTTGTCCCTTCACGGTAATGTACAGGGGCAGTTGGAGCCTCAGGGACATTCGCCTGTTTAAGCTGGGAACTCAGATGAGAGTCTCTGAGTGAGGAGAATTTGCCCACCCCCCAGACACCATCCAGGAGTTCTTCAAGGCTACCTGCTGAATGCATTAGCAGCCCTGAATGCTAGGAACTGTGTTTTTCCCACTATCGTTAGAAGGCTCAGGAGGGTAGACGGCCCACCTATCTATTAAGCAGAATGGCCAGGAAGGACACCCTTGCAGACGGTTAACTAGGAAATCATATGCACCTAAGCTACCTTAAATGGAAGCATTAACTCTTCCCAGGGTCAATTCCTACACAGCTCTTTTCAAAGCCGTGCATTGAGCAGGTACGCAGGCGGCACTGGAAGAAACCAGACATCCAGTATAGACAGATCTAACCCGGAAGGCAGCGTAACCAGATGTGCCCATCTGACAATGGGCTAAGGAGAACACTGTGCCATTCTAATAGTTAACCTTTCAAATGTTTCCTTCTGTTTTATTCACTTAGTAAATAAAATCAATTTCAATCATCAACTAGAAAACAGTTAAAACATGCAAACGTGCCTGAGCAAATACAAACAGCATTGTATTTTAAAATAATTAGTGAAATTGGGGTGCATTTCAAACAAAATCCGTCTAGTTTAAGCATTTGAGAATTTTGTAGATTGGTCACAGATGGACACTGTTAATTTCATTTGGCTTTATAATTGAAGTCATCTTTAGTATCAATTTATTCTCCCTCGTTTTGTCTCTGAATTTTGCTGTGGTTCCAAGTTTCTATCCATCTTTATGCATTTTTACAATGTCCCTCTCACATAAAGACCCAGAAGATGTAAAAATAATTGGGGTATTTTGTTTGTTTAATTTTTAAATCTAAAGGTAAGTTAGAATATCCAAAGAACATTATTATTTCAGTACTTCACTTCTATTATTAAAACACACCATAATATTGCTTAATCCCAAGCAGTGGTATAGGACTGTTTGGGAATTTCAATGTCCTGGCTGCAATGGACTTCACTACGTGAAGATTGCTCTGGGGGAAGCTGGTCATCGGTGCCTCCACAAAGCTCCCGTTGTATTCAGTACCTGGGTCAGCATGAAGGACTGGGTCAACTGTAGACAATGGCACTAATTGTTTCCTTTCTGTCTACTTAATGTCAGAGTTAACCTATCCTTTTAAAAGACATATTTAGAAAATACTAGTTGAGAGAAGAAGCCGATACCTGCCAGGAGGAGATAAGAGGGAGGCCCACCATTCCTCCTGCCTGAGAAGGTCCCCTGCCCTGTAGCCACTCACTTCGGGCTGCCTATGAGAGCAGGCCCTGGCCAAGGACCTTTCTCGCTTCTCAGTCTATCACAGAAATGGCTGGCATTCTCTGCTATAATATAGGGCCAGCAGACTATGACTTCTGGGTAGAGCTAGTCTGCTCCTGCCTTTCCATGGCCCATGAACTGTGAAGGTTTCCACTTTTAAAATGAAGAGAAGAATGTTTACAAACACAAAAATGATATGAAATGAAAACGTTGGTGTTCATAAGTAAAACTGACTGGCATACAGTGCTATGGATGAGGACTCTCTGCTGGTGAGCTTGTCACATGACTGACCAGGAACATTGAAGTGATCAGGAGGGAATCCCTTTCCTCAGCCCATCAAATGTTTCAGGCCACCAGTGTCTGTTCTGGGTTTTCCTGGTCTTCTCTTCTGTCACTTTGGGTGACATTTCCTTTCTCCCATAGAAAGTCGACCCCCACCTCCTTTAGATCCCCCCTTCTAGATTTTCTGCCACCTTTTCCTTTTCTCTCCCCTCCACCATATTATAACGATTCTCTTCTGCTCCATCAATCTGGCCAGTTTTAAAAGGTGTTTGTCAGACAGGTCAGATAATAAGTATCTGAGACAACACAAGTCACAAAGAAAGAGAGAGGTTTACTCTGGCTCATGGCTGCAGAGGGTTCAGTCTGTAGCTGCTTGCTCTGTGGCTTTGGGGGCCGTGCTGAGGCTGCACATGGTAGGAGAGCACAGTGGAGGGGGACCTCTTACTACATCATCTGTGAAACAAGAGTGAAAGCAGACTGGCTGGACTCCCACCATCCCCTTTGAGGGTGCACTATAAATAACCTAAAAGACTCCCCCCACTTTAGGCTCCATCTCCTAAATCTTCCACCTCTCCCAGACAGCACCACAGGCTGGTGACCAGTCCTTTAAGAGGATAAGATCCGGGTTGCAACAGACAAGACCTTACAACCTTCTCCCCAAGGAGTCTCCACTTGGCCCAATCGGGCCAACTATGGTCCATATCTTAGCTCACCTCCCAGGGACATTCACCAGGGGTCACACCTGCCCCCACCCCCTTACTTCTTTCTTTCTTTTCTTATCACTCCACTAAGCCTAGTCTCATGTGGTAAGTACTGGTCACCTTGTGGCCAAAATTGGTAGTGATTTTTCTTTGCTAAGAGCAGCCTTGCAGCAACTTTGAATCCAGTCGATAGTTCCTTGTCTTAAACCTGCTATTGGTGCATCTTATTCCCAGATCTTCCCTTCTGTTTCGGAGTCTCTTCCTGAACCTGCCCTCCAATGCTGTCCTGGGGTGTCTTTCCTCTCTCTTTGTGGTTTCTCTAGAGCAGTGGTTCTCAACCTTCCTAATGCTGTGACCCTTTAATACAGCTCCTCATGTGATGGTGATTCCCCCAACCATAAATTTTGTTGCTACTTCATAACTGTAATCTTGCTGTTGTTGTGAATCATAATGTAAATATCTGATATGCTGGCTATCTGATATGTGACTCCCAAAGGGGTTGTGACCCACAGGTTGAGAACCACTGCTCTAGATTATTTCCTTACTTTAAATGCCATTGCTGTAGTTTGAGTGTGTTCCTTAGAACTTACATGTGAGCTCATCTCCAGTGCATGCATTGAGATGTAGAACTTCTTTTTCTTTACATTTAAAAAATCTGTTATCTGTGCGTGCATGTATGCATGTGAAATGCATGAATGCACATGTGTGGAGGTCAGAGGACAACTCCGAGAGTTAATTCTCTCATTCCACCATGTGGGCTCTGCGGACCAAACTCAGGTTGTAAGCCTTGGTGGCAAGTGCTCTCACCTGGTGAGTCACCTTGCCAGCCATACGGGGCCATTAGCTTATTGTGGCTCACCCTTATGAATGGACTGCTGTTCTGGAGGGAGGTCCCAAGCACTGATTTGACCCCTACAGTCTTTCTTATATGATCTTACCCTTTTGCCCTCTACCTTAGGGTGGCGCAGCAGGTGTCTCCTATCAGGTGGGGCCCTCTTCATGTTGGACTTCCCAGCCTCTAGGGACATAAGAAATGACATTATTAACAAAATACCCAGCCTCTGGTATTTTGTTACAGTGGAGTGAAATGAACTATGATGATCTTCAACACGCAAATCACTCTTGATTCTAGAGCCCCGATTTCCCTCTGAGAGCCTGCCTCCAGAGCTGCAAACCTGGCATTCCTCCTATTCCCCTAGGCAGAGTCTCTCACTGAACCTGGAGTGGAGCTGGTGGCCAGCAAGGTCCAGGAATCCTCCTGTCTGCTTGGCATATCCCTGGGGTCACAGCTCACAGCCACACCTGGCTTCACGTGGGTGCCGAGAATTTGAACTCAGGGCCTCGTGCTTTTACAGCAAATTGTCTCAGTCCTTGAGCCAGCTCCCTCGTCCCCAATACTTTAAATTGATACCTTATATATTGATTTTTAGTTTCAGAACTATTATGTGCACATGCACTCTCACCCCCTCCCCCATATCTTCTGGTGATGAAATCCAGGATTTCTTACGTACTAGACAACACCAGGGATCTATGTCTCCAGCCCATTTCCTTTTTCTGTTCGTATGTGTTAGCATGTAACAGTTTTGCATGCTGCTTTTCCCACTCAACAAAAGCAAGTATTTTTACTTGTTATTTAATCATACTCATAAACACCCTTATAATGGTTGCATAATACTACATTCCATGGTTGTTTACCCCATTGTAATTTGATATTTAGCTCACATCAAATTTTTCACAGTAATGAACAGTGTGTGTGTGTGTGTGTGTGTGTGTGTGTGTGTGTGTGTGTGTGTGTATACTGCCCTGTTTTATCTGGTCACTGGAAATGAATCCATGGAGACCTGTGACCCTGTAGCAGCTTCTCCCAGAGCAGCACACCTGGTCTGGCTGGAGACTAAGCCGGGAGTCTGGAGTGCAATTAGCATTTGAATTAGTGACATGAAGATAAACAGGTGATTATCCCATTTAACAGCTGCTGGATGGTGTTAAATAGACACTGTCTGACAGCTTGAGCTTTAGATGGAGGGTTTATTAACAAATGATTTTTTTTTAAAAAGAATTGCTTGTTTTTTAAAAAAAAATAAACGAAAGCAGGATTTAAGAGATGAGTCCTTTCAAACTGCTTTTGACCAAACTAAACCGATTTTAACTCCTGAATCAAGCTGCTTGTTCACGAAGTGAATAGCACGAATAATCTCATTTCATACTTCCCTGCCGTTTGTCTGAACAGCTCTGTGTGACTTACAGATGCTCTCTCAGCACCCCTCAGCTGGGGCCAGGAGCACTGGACAGTATGGACTCAGAAGCTACATTTGGTTCACAGAGACACTAAAGAGCCCATGTGCTCTGACAGGGTCAGGTAGATGCAATTCGAACTCACGGCCCCAGGTTCTAAAATAACACCCCTTATTTTCTTGGTGAAAAATGCATTGGCATTTTTAGAGTTAGTATCAGGTGAGAATGTTTTGTTTGTGCATGATGTTTACCTCGACAGTTTTCCTTTAATTGCCTGTCTTGCAGTAGAACTGTGAACCCTTGCAGTGTGAGTTCGCAGTGGGTGGGGGTGGGTGGACCTGGGAGGGTGGGAGTCAGGGAGGCTGATGGGATGGCTTAGTGCTGCCTTTTGCTTTGTTCCCATGTTCCTTTGTGCTTCTTGATTTCCGTTCTTCTCCTCTAGGTACTGAGGACTGATCCCAAGCTTTGCATGCTCTACGTACACACCCCGGCACTGAGATGTGCTCTCAGCCCACTTTTGGATTTATTTGCCTTAATTGTGTGGATTTAGGGTCAAAATGGATGCAGAGCTACCCAGCAGGTGCTGCACTGCAGCCAGTAACTTAGGTTTTGTAGACGTTTTGTTCACTATTCTCACCAAGCCAGTCTTCGTGGTGAAGAAGCAGGCAGAGTTTCTTAGCATAAGGAAGAGAAGGCAGGCCTGATGAGGCAGAGACAAAATGATCATGAGTTCGAGGCTAGCCTGGGCTCCAGAGTGAATTTCCAGGCCAGTCTGAAGTACACAATGAGATCCTTTCTCTCTCTCTCTCTCTCTCTCTCTCTCTCTCTCTCTCTCTCTCTCTCTCTCTCTCTCTCTCTCAAAAGCTCATAAAACAAAACAAAATAAAAACAAACCTGAAGAAAAGGGGAAGGCGGGTTGGAGAGATGACTCAGTGGTTGGGAGCACTTGCTGCTCTTCAGAGGACCTGAGTTCAGTTCCCTGAACCCATATCTAATGCTCAGAAGGCTAGTTATTCCTTACCACATGCCCATAAATATATTTTTCCTGTCAAGCAAAGTCAAATCCGTTATCTTTTAGAAAGGCTGATTTTTGAACTGTTAGTGAGAAAGTAGACTGAGACTGACCTGTCGCAAAATGCAGAACTGAACGCTTTTAGTCAACTCATGTGGTATTTGCAAAGATCTGAGGGAAGATTAGTAACTTCTTCCGTGACAAGGTTTGTGATTTGCATACATGTAAATTATCTCATTCATAGTCAATATGATAGTGCAAGAGCTAGCATATCCCAAAAGGTAATCTGTGCTTTCCTCACTTGGAATGAAGACCTTATCTGTTGAGTTCCTGACATTGAGTAGTTGTGAGGAAGGAAGTTAGACTAGAGTTCAATAAGCTGGATAGTCTTGTCACATGTATGTCACAAATAAATAGGATATATACAAAAAGCACTCATTGTGTTAAATGGATAAGTTTGGCCTAAATCTGATTCCATCCTTAAATGACAAAATTTGGCCCAAGATGGTCTCCATGTAGGGTGAACTGGAACCTAGGTTGATGTGAAAGCAAGTTGTAATGTAACCTGAAAGTATTTTCTGATATCCCAGTAAAGGAGTCAAGCGATCAGAGGCTGCAAACTGCCCCCCCCTCCAACACACACACACAGGGGGCTCCATGCTGATTTCAGCTAAGCAGCTTGTCTCTGGAGGTCACTTCCTTTCCTCTGGCTATAACTACAGTCTGTGCAAACTCTCTGCTCAGGGCATTCTGAATCAACTTCCCACTAGAGATCGGCTGGTGGCTAGAACCTCTTTGTCCAAAGAAATTGTTGAAATGAACTCAGCTCAGACTTTATCAGTTGTGTCTCTGGAAACCAGATTGAGTTGGTCCTCCTCTGTATCAACTCTGCTAAGTCTGGTCAGCTAAGCAGATTAGTGCTCAAAACTTTTTTTTGCTGGGGGGGCATCCTGGGACTTTGTTCCCCAGCGTGTTCTGAACTGACATGGGTGGCTAAGGTTAGACCTTGACACCATGTACGGTTCCAACGACGCGCTGTCCCTGTCTCTATGAAACAGATGGAGGTAGTGGCATTTTGTAGCCTCTGGTCCCCAGTGAATGCATAATTGCTTGCCAGAGAATTCTCCCACAGGTGCTTCCAGGCCATTAAGGCAAAGGGCAGGAGGAGAAGGAGAGAGAGAGTAATCTGGGGAATGCAGGGGTGAGGCCTTCTTGCTCCCACCAGCTGTTCTGGAATGATCTTTCTGAGGGAAGAAATGTGGCAGCGATTCGCGACGTTTCAGGCCCAGCACGATGCTTGGGCTGGTAGAAAACTTTTCCGTGTGTTTCCTCCGGGGTATTTGGGCTTTTGTTTTCTGCTGTGCTTTGCACAGAAGCTGGAAAGCTGCCTCCCCAGAAGTGGACTTCCTCCCCTTTTATAAACTGACCCCTGGTGGTTACTATAGCAACTGCAAAGAGAGACTGATAGCTGCATAAACAAAGCTAGCTTCAGAAAAGAGAATGAGGAAGATGAATAAGATGGGCCAGAGAAGCGAGCCCTAGGAAGATCAGGAAACACTGTAAAGCACCCGCCCAGCTCTTCCCTTCTCTCCTCCCATCTTTTGTATTCCCATCAGCCCTAGGGCGAAGACAGAGGACCTAGGAGGGCAGCATGCAGGGGCCTGCCTTTGATGCTGGGGAACTGAACACCAGATGACTGAAAATGAAGTTTAAACATTTGCTCAGAGCTCTAGGCTAGAAATATGCCAACCTGACCTGGAAAAACAAATAACCGGAGTAGCTGCCACACCTGCTGCGGACTGAGATGTCTTGCAGCCAGAGGGCTGAGATGCCTTGCAGCCAGAGGGCTGGGATGCCTTGCAGCCAGAGGGCTGGGATGCCTTGCAGCCAGAGGGCTGGGATGCCTTGCAGCCAGAGGGCTGGGATGCCTTGCAGCCAGAGGACTGGGATGCCTTGCAGCCAGAGGGCTGGGCCTCTCGACCCTCAGCTACTCTTGCCTTCATAAACTAGATGAAGCTGGAGACAAAGGTTGAAGATTTCTGAGATCTGTAATCCTTGCAGTATGACTACTGGGTGGAGAAAGACCATCCTAAGATTATACACACACACACACACACACACACACACACACACACACACACACACACGTACGCACACACGCACCACACGCACACACGCACGCACGCATGCACGCACACTCACACTCACTTTCCTCTCCAGAAACTTGGCTCCTAGTTGCAGGAAACTTTCTTTATACAACCAGAGAGCCAGAGATGCCAGCATTATAGTCAGTGTTGTTGTCTTTCTTTTCTTTTTCTTTAGTTCACTCCCCCCACCCTCGTTTAGCCTTTTTAAGTGTTTGTGCATGAATTATAAACTGTGTGATGCATATAACACAACTTTTCAAGCTGACCTCCTGAAGGGATGGTGAAAGTCAGTTGGAGAATCCATGGAAACCTTCCATTTCTTTTGTCCTTGACACTGCAGACTCTCCTTTCATTAATGAAAACCAGTGTTGCCCCATTTACTCTGATAGGAAATCTAGCATAGCGAACCACACTTACAGTCAGCCCATCCATGGGTGCTCATTTTAAAATTTACTTAACGAACAGCAGCAACAAAAACCTCATCTGTACTAAATATGTGAAGGCATCAAGAGGGTCATTATTCCAAAATAATGATTAACAGTGTAACAACTATTTACATTGCATTTATACTGGGCTAAGTGTTTTAAGTAATAGAGAAATAATTTAAAGGGTGTGAAGGGTGTGGCTATGCTATATGTAAATATCACACCCTTTTGTATAAGAGATACTCCGTCTGTTGGGGGTCCTGGACTCAATATCATAGATAATGAAGGATGGCTATATGCTTATAATGCCCATTTTTATTATTCTTAACTTTTTGAAGTATTCACACATCTATTATTCAGAAGGTGCTTCAACAACTCCAAAACCCATATGTGGCAATTAAATCTTCTAATTAACCTCTCAGATGGAGGAACTGGCCTAGGGGAGATTAGCTGATGTTATTATGGGGAAACTAATGGGCTGAAAGTTTGGGTTAAAAGGAAGTTATTGAGTCATTCTTATTTCTGAGATAAAGAATGCCCTGTATTACACAAAACTAGATCATAATGAACATTTCTATAATGTATATTATACAGAAGCCATGGTGAATAAATCCGAGGGTCTTCTAGGCTCTATTTGTAAAATCTGATTCCTAATTCTTAGGACAGCTTCACATGTGATGTGGCATTAAAGCATTACCATTGTTTTCCTTTTGAGTCACATCAGTCATTCTGCTCCCCTGCCTCGAGCTTCAGTCCCAGGTGGGCTGATGCTGTAACTATAGCTGAATGGCCAAGCAGTTGCTTAGCATGCACAGGGTTCCAGGTTCTACCCCAGGTACCACAAAATAAACAGATGACACCAAATAAGAATTAAGTCACAGGCCTGGCCTCTGTAGACTTTCTGTAATTGGAAGCTTTAGCCTTTCCTTGAAGATGTTCTGTAACAGTTTCCTCCAAGATTAAAACGTTCCAGCTTAGAGGGAAGCTCAGTAAGACACAGGATGTTAAATTAGAGGTCATCTAAGGGGTGGGAGGAGCATGCCATCCTGTAGGGAAACTCCTTAAACCCAAGAGTAAGCAACTCAACAACTTCAGGAAGTACCTGAAACCAGGATCGCTCCACCCTTCCCTCCCCGAGTTTATATTAGCTGTAAGGACTGCTGAGGGACACTCTCAGACCAACGGAGCCACCTGGCTGGAGCAGAGACCTGCCCAGCTGCCTGGAAATGGCTCAAAGCTACCTCACTACCTGGAATGCACACTCTTCAGCCTGCCTAGCAGCCTGCAGGCTGTGCCGTGTGCTCTAGGTTTCTAGCTTTTGTGAGCTGTCACCCATGCTGGGGTGGGCTTTAGTGATGTGCCTGTCTCTGAGTCATTTCTGCTCCTGCAAGTAGCCCCTCACCCATACTCCTGTGAGTAATCCCAGTAAAAGTCATTGGTTCAGCACATTGGATTTTAGTGGTATATCCATCCTTTGGTCTGTTGTCCCTCTGCCTAGGGTGAGTAGATGTTTGTTCCTGTCTCCCCAGGAATAATGTCACACAATGGGGGTGGACCATCACTCTGTGGGATCTTTAGTAGGTTGTAAAGAAGTGTGGACCAGTGATGCTGATCCTCTGGGGAAGACATAAAGGGAAATTTATGAAAGGTAGTAATATGTAAGAGCCAACTCCTCATAGACTGCCCTATTCTACCGTTGACATGTCAGACTTGTAGGACTGTTAGTAGCAGACAAGGTGGTGAGGTGGGGTAAGGTTGCAGAATTCAAACAGCACATGCAGTTCCATGAAGAAAATTCGAAGTCCTCAACCCAAAGAGCAAGGAGGGACATTTTGATGACTCCCAGGCTCTCCTGGAAAAATGATTTTCTCTTATCATTGGAAGGTATTGGTGTAGTGTTGAAGTTTCTAGGGGATCATGTTTTCTTTCTTTCTTTTTTTATTAAGACATTTTAAAATTTGTTTTACATATCTGCCCCGCCTGCAGGGCTACAACGGGTTCTCGACCACCCTAAGGAGGGAATGTAGGGACAGGAGATACAAAGGAAAGTACACCAAGTCTAGATTCTGATCAAGATGCAACTTTATTTTCTCCAGAAGGGTTTATATAGTTCCTGCAGGGTGGGGGGAGCAAGAAGCTGTCATCTGCATAAGGTGGGGCAAGCTAACAGGATGTTTGTATAGGATGTTTACAGGGTGAGAGGGTCAAGGGCTCTGACTCAATGTCCTGTTGCTAGGCAACCTGACTGTAAGATGATCTAGTTCTCTATCTTATCGGGGGTCTGTATTTTTCCACTAACTAGAGATTCTGGTCCTTGTCCCTGACATATACCAATCACAGATTGCCCTCTTCCCTCCTCCTGCCCCTCCAGCCTCCCCAACCTAACCCACCTCCTATTCCCTCCTACAAGAAGGTAAGGCCTCTTATGGGGAGGTTCATATAGTAGAGGTAGTGGGGACCATGTTTTCTACTCCATATCTCTAGGGTTTGTGATGCTGAGTTTTAAATGTCTATGTGCCACAACCTAGAAGCACCTGAGAAGAGAGCCTCACTTGAGAGAGTAGCTGCGGGCATGCCTGTGGACAAATGTCTTGAATGTTAATTGATGGAGGAAGATGTAGCCCATTATGGGTGGTATCATTCTCTAGGCAGCAGATCCTGACCTATAGCAGAAAGCTCATGAAGTACAAGCCTGGCAGCGTGGGTACATTTTTGTTTCTCTCTGTTCTTGACTGTGGATGTGATTTGACTAGTGGCTTGAGTTCTTGCTTTGATTTCTTTGAAATGATGGACTGGAACCATAGGCCAGATAAACCTCATCTTCATTAAATGGATTTTGGTCAGGGTGTTTTTTCACAGCAGCTGAAATGAAAGAAGAATGGGACTCTTCTCTCAGATAGTGCAAGCTTTCATTTTCTGGATTTAGAGGCATGGCTGCCTGTCCCCCCTTCCCCCCAAGGACAGGTCTGCAGCCAGCCTTGGAGCCTCGTTTGTGCCACCAAAGTAACCAGCACACTCCAAGCATGCAAGGAGACCCCAAACCCTTGGATTTTTACAGGGGGCATATGAATGAAGTTCTTTGAGTTTTAAGTAAATGGCTCCTGAGTCTCCTTTAACACTAAAGGTACTTAGAACAGACAGACGAAAGAAATCATAAAATAGTATCTCTGGAGAGAAACTTGGAGATCATCAATTGGAGCTAAATGTCTAAACTTGAATGTTAGGTTTTTAAGGCCAGGGGTGGTGATGTAGACATGCACGCTAGCACTTAGAGGTAGAGACAAGAGGATTGAGAATTCAAAGCCAGCCCGAGATCCAGAGCGAGATCCTGCATCAAAATAAACAGATAAATGAACTGACTACCTCAGCAGCTGAGCGACTGACCAACTAATTAGCTATCAGGGTCCCTTCTGCTGTCACAATATTGGTGAGTGACAGCAGTCATGGCTCTGCTCACTCTAAACTCAAGCTGCGTGATGGAGATACACCGTCAGCCACTGTGTCACTTAAAATATCCTAATACTGCATTTAAAATGGGACAGAGAGCCACCAATGATGGCAGACCGGTGAATCCAGTGCTTGAAAGATGGAGACGGGGGAATCAGAAGTTCAAGGCCAGCCTTGGTTACACAGCTAGTTTGAGACCAGCCCAGGCTGCATAAGAACCCACTTAGAAAAGCAAACACAAACGGCGTGAGAGGAATGCAGTTGAACAGTCACTGATGACCAGGAACCTGACACCAAAGCCACTATGGGATACAGATCTCACATTCGATGGCATGGCCATGGGAAAATCCCAGTGCAGATGCGGAGAACTGATGATCCTTGCTCTCTGCTGGTGGGTAGAGTGAAGTATCCACTGTGGAAGAGAGTACTGTGGCTTCTCAAAATGCTAAGGAGCAGATGAGCAAATGAAAAATCTGTCAATTCTTCTGCTGGCCATACCCCCTAAGGAAATGAAAGCAGAGACTTGAACAGACATTTGCACACTCATGCTCACAGCAGCACATGCACGATGAGGTGTCAACAGGTGAAAGAAATCTGAGTGTCAATAACAGAGGAATGGATGAATAAGATATGATCTGCACACAAAGAAGAGTATCATTGAGCCTGAAAAATAGAAGGGCACTCTGTCACAGGTTACAGCTTGGATAAATCTTGAGGACACCGTGCTAAGAGAAATAAGCTGCTCACAAGAGGGCAGATATTTTATTATTCCATTTGTGTTAGATACTAGAATACTCAAGTTCATAGAGACACACCACAGAATGACAGCTTCCAAGGGTGAGGGAGGGTGAAATGGGTAGATGTTGGCCTGGGGGTACATAGCTCAGTTGGTAGAATGCTTGCTTAATGTGAATGAGGTTGTGGACTCCATCCCCAGTACCACATAAATGGGGCATGGTAGCACATTCTTGGAATGCCAACACTTTGGTAGTAGAGGAATCAGGAGGTCTAGTTAATCCTTAGCTACATGGTGCCTTTGAGATCAGCCTGGGTTTTGTAAGACCTTGTCTCAAAATTAAAAAAAGAAAAAGATGTGTGCATGTGTGCACTCGAGTGTGTCTGCGTGACTTGTTGCTTATTTGGGTATAGAGATTCAATTTTGGAAGTTCTGTGGAAGGCTGCTGGTGGTGATGGTAGTATGATAGTAGGTGTGCACCCAACACCATCACCCTGTGTTCTTGAAGGTAGCAAGCTCAGGGTCTGAGGAGATGGCTCAGCGGTGGAGAGCATTACTGCTGTTGCAGAAGGTGTGAGTTCAGTTTCCAGTACCAGTGTCAGATGGCTTACAGCCGCCTCTAACTCCAGGGGCTCTGATGTCCTCTTCCCTCCTCCTCAGCCATCTGCACTCACATGCACATACCCTTCCCCCAAATTAAAACTAAAACAAGTCTTTAAAGAGATGGTAGGCTTGTGATACATGTATTTTGCCACAATAAGAAAGAATAATTTAAACGATATATTTAACCAGTGAAAGAAAAATATTACTAATTTAACATATAATCAGTGCTAAACAAGTTAAGGAGCTGCTTTATATTCTTTATCTCACATTTTCTTCAAAAGCCTGAGACACTTTTTACATTTCAGCACATCCAATGGCCATGTGTCAAGTGACTGCCAGCCACATGTGGCTAGTGGTTCCTATCCTGGACATACTTTTTTTAGCTAATGTTTGATGGAATGTAGCTTCAAGGTCCCCTGACAGATGTTTCTTAGTCGCAGGTCTCTGGAGACCACCAGCTGAGTGTCTGAGAGATAGGAGACACCAGACCTGCTTTCCTCCCCCGGGCCTCACAACACAGGATTCATTGTGACCAGATGCAGTTCCCCCACTTCATCAATCCTCTGGGACCAGCTGGCTGTCCCACAATCGAGTTCCGTTCTGACCCCATCCACCTGGAGACAGCATCAGATCCTACAGGGGTAGAAGTTAGCTTCGCGAGGTGGGATGGTGCCTGTCTGTGTTCTAAGCACTTGAGAATTGGAGTGAAGGGTATTATGAGTTCAAGGTCAACCTTGGCTACATAGCAAGTTCAAAGCCAGCCTAGACTACTTGAGACCATCTCAAAAACAACAACAAAAATAAAATGAAATATAAATAAACAAACAAGAAAGATCTTTAAGTTTCACACGACTGCCTTCTCCCTTAGATTCAGGTAGAAGCAGTGCATTTCCAGGCCACTCTTACCCTGTGTCTGACTTGGCTGCAAATCCAAGGCTCTCACAATTCTTTTGGGATCCATCCCTTGCTAGAACTCTTCACAGAGGTCACAGAAACATTTTACTGACTC